AAACTTAACACCGTACACTTGCGGTTGGAAAATTCTCTCATCAACACTATATTAAACCCTTTTCTTCTTAAACCCTTTTAAACCATATATTAAACCCTTTTCTTCTTCCCTACGCTCCTCCCCGTCTACAAAAGTTACAAAAACCGCTTCCCAAAAACCCCATAACTCCCATTCTTCTTCTTGGCTTAATAAATGGTCTTCCCCTCCAACTCCAGCCTCGCCTTCCACTCCTCTTAAATAGGGTTCCAAGGAACCTGACTACAATTCGGATACAACTCATGTTGGAACTACTGCTATCAAGCGAATTGTACTTTGGTTGCGAAATCTTGGGCTTGGGTCAGATGATGGAGAAGACGATGAAGGGGGTGACATAAATTCAAGTTCAAATTTAGATTTTAATTATTCGAAGATATTCTTAGATAGGGAAGAAAGGTTGGGGGATTTGTTGAAGAGGGATTGGGGGAGATTTTTTGTGTTGTTGTTTGAGATGTTGATTTTGGTTTGCGGTGGTGGCCGGCGAAGGCTGCAGTGGCAGGTAGTGGTCGATAATAACAGGTCGAAGGATGGGTACGTGTTTTCTGGGTTTTGGGGGTAGGGTAGTGGGATGTGGAAGAAGATGATTTTTTATTTTTATTCATTTTATTTTCTCTTTTTTTTTTTATTGTTTTTAGCTTCATTTGATTTTTAAAAGGTTTAATATGTGATTGACATAAATGCCCTTACCAAATTTGGTCAAAATCAGATTTTTTGGTCAACTGGATGGTTTTCATCCATTTAGACTTCAGATGCATATTTCTAAAAGATTAGGGACCTTTGTTGGCAAAAACTGAATGTTAGGGTAAAGTCTGCAAAAATTGAAAAAGTTAGGAACCGCTGCTGCAATTTTTCCTACATTCAAACTAAATAGCAAAACTATTTGGATCCATTACCAAATCAAATCAGTAGGTGAACGTAATGGGATTGTATGCACTAAGCATTCGTATTCCAAGAACGGAAATCACAAATTGAATTTGTTATTATAACATAATATAATATGCACATAAATAGACAAGGAAAAAAAAGTCTTAAAATTGTTGGTGATTATGTGTGATGAATATGCTAATTATATTTTGAAATATTAAACAAAGCAAAGCCACTTACTTGGAATGGAAAAACGATGTAGAAAGAAACAAAGAAATTGTAAATCGAGGTTAGTGTTTAACACAGTCTTTAAGACGAATTTTTCCAGCCAGGTGCTTACAGAATCTTGGCAATCATCTCCCAAAATACAAGAGTTTCTCCTTATTGTAGAAGCACTTCAAACGACGATGAACAACAAACTCTTTATGTTGAATGAGATTTTATGCAATAAGAACTTTAATTATGGTATGAATTTAGACCATTAAGGGAGCCCAATTTATAGAGGTTGTGACCAAT